AATAATAAATGCTGGAGAGGAGGTGGAGAAAGGGAACCATATTGCACTGCTGGTGGGAATGCAAATTGACACAGCCACTATGGAGAACAGTATGGAGATTTCTTTAAAGAGAAAAAAAAAAAGATAAAACTACCATATGACCCAGCAATCTTACTACTGGGCATATACCCTGAGAAAACCACAATTCTAAAAGACACAGGTACCCCAATGTTCATTGCAGCACTATTTACAAAAGCTAGGACATGGAAGCAACCTAGATATCCATCAACAGATGAACAGATAAAGAAGTTATGGTACATATGTACAATGAAATATCACTCAACCATCAAAAGGAATAAATCTGAGTCAGTTCTAGTGAGGTGGATGAACCTAGAGCCTGTTATACACAGTGAAGTCAAAAATAAAAAACCAAATATCATATATTAATGCATTTATAGAAACTAGAAAAATAGCACTAATGATCCTACTTGCAGGGCAGCAATAGAGACTCAGACATAGAGAAAAGACTTGCAGACACAACAGGGGAAGGATAGGGTGGCATGAGTGGAGAGAACAGCATTGAAACACATACATTACCACATGGAAAGTAAATAGCCAGTGGGAATTTTTGTATGACACAGGGAGCTCAACCTGGTGCTCTGTCACAATCTAGAAGGGTGGGATGGTATAGGGGATGGGAGGGAGGTTCAAGAGAGGGGACATACATATACCTATGGCTGATTCATGTTGGGGTATGGCAGAAATCAAGATAACATTGTAAAGCAATTATCCTTCAATTAGAAAAGTTGCTCTCTCAAAGAATATGCCATCTAGGTAGAGGTGAAAAGACAAAAATCACAAATTATGATGAGAAGGTGGAGTGGAAAGATATAGGGTTATTAAACAATATGACACTACTGTGATCTATTTATATCTGTTTTACTTTTGTGCTTTATTTTTAATGTGTATTTAACAATCTTACAGGCATGCGACCAATGTAATAAATAATTACATTTTGCATAAGTAACTAAATCTGTCTGCCATGAGTGTGGTTACCTCCTTTGATATTTCAAATAATGTAGAGTTTAGTTCTTTATCTTACCAGTACAGCTACATAGTCAATGAATGTTATAAGGAAACACAGGATGCAAATTACACAATTGTTCTAGCTGGGAAAAAATATGGCTAATTTGACTTTCCTAAGCTCTTTCTCTCATCTGTTCTTTAAATCTGGGAAAAGAAACGACTTAATATAAAATTTCCATAAGGAAAGACCAAGCTCTCCTTCAGAGGAAGTAGAGAGAGTTTAAGCTAGAAAACGAAGTCTTTGCATCTGAAATCTTTAAGAAAATAACATTCTCAATTCTTCAAGGTATAGAAATGAAAGTAAAAAGGCACCATTTGAGCAGGAAAAGTATTCTCATGTGAAACTGCGTGAATAATTCACCCAGCACCTTCCTCAGATCAGTACTATCTTGGAAGTGAACACAAGAAAAAAGAAGACATAGGTTCATCAGTGAAGAGAGTTCTACCTTTATAAGCGACCTGGTCACTAGGACTCCAAATGCAATGTCTCCTAACTCTAGAGGATATTCTTCAGTGCAGTTCATTTTAAAGTAAACATAAATATCACATGACACTCCATAATAATGAAAAAAGAGGCAAACTAAATTTTGAATAAATACCTCTTCTTCTATTTCAGTGAGATAGCAATTTTGGGCCTATTTCCTTGTCCCCATCTATAAGAAACTGTCACTCTTTTCTACAGAGATCCCTTTCTTCCAAGAAATTCAGGAAATAACTCCAAGGGTAGAGGTGGGCATGCACACACTCACACAGCAATCATCAGAAAGCAAAGGAACATACTTAACAACACAAATGGAAAGGTGGAAATATTTTTGCCTGTTAAACTTTGACTTTCATTTCTTCTTATATTCATCAAAGGGCATATGGGGATACTAAGTACAGTTCTGGGAATGCAAAAGTGAGGAAGGCACAGTCCCTCAAGAACACAGGCTAATGAGAGAGACAGATAAATAATGACAAGGCAATACAATTACTGGTGTATATCAGGGATATGTGAAGAACTATGAGGGGACTTAGAGAAAGGGAGACTCTACATTTCAGGAAATTATGTTGCATGCACGTGTGTGTTTGACTCTTTGCAACCCCATGGATTGTAGACCACCAGGCTCCTCTGTCCATGGGATTCTCCAGGCAAGAATACTGGAGTGGTTAGCCTCTCCCTTCTCCAGAGGATCTTCCTGACCTAGGGATTGAACCCAGGTCTCTTGCATTGCAGGCAGATTCTTTACCATCTAAGCCACCAGGGAAGCCCAGGGAAATCATGGAGGGCAATATAAATATGTGAACTCAAGTTTTATAGTGTTAGTAGAAATTCTAAAATTATGAAGTAGAATTCCTATTGTAGGAATGTTAGTCCAGTCTCCATAAAGACACCCAAACTTTAGTTGGAAAGAATGGAATCAACACTAAATCACTCCATGGATGCCTAAACAGTTAGATATAAATGCCCAATACAAAAGAAGGCACAAGTATTAGACACCACGTCCTCCTTTCACACCAAGTCCCAGTAGTCATGCAGTGTCCACAGAGACAGGAAGCAAGGAAGAAGAAATTCAGCTACCATATACTAGTTCTCCCCTGCTATTAAAAAAAACCATTGAGTCTGTGCTGTGCTGAGCTACTCAGTCATGTCCAACTCTTTGTGACTCCATGGACTATAGCCTGCCAGGCTCCTCTGTCCATGGAATTCTCCAGGCAAGAAGAATACTGGAGTGGGTAGCCTGTCCCTTCTCCAGGGGATCTTTCTGACCCAGGAATAGTACGAGGGTCTCCTGCATTGCAGGCAGATTCCTTACCAGCTGAGCTACCAGGGAAGTCCATCACCGAGTCTAGTTTTAGCCAAATCCCTGTCTCGCTGGCCTGGTCTAGCATGTGGACTCAGTGTCAAGCCACTGATCGAGCTTAACGATTCCGTATGAAATAGGAATTCATCTATTTCAGTGCAGTTCACATCCAGTTGTATTGCTTTAAGGAAACATCTGGTATTGACTTAACATGATGCCTGTTAAATCAAAATCAATATAAATTAATTAACTTGAGAGTGTTGTCTAATTTCCTCATTGGTATTAATGCTGGTTTTCCAGTAGCAAATGCTTTGGAGTGAAAAACACTCATCTATGCATTTTTCCTAAGTTTCCCCCACTGTATTCAGTTTTAATTTGTGTGACGAGTTTCACCTCACAAAGTGCTTCCCTCCTATTTGCTTCTTTCCAAACGCACATTGAGGTCTGTTTATATATTAATTTCTACTAGAATCACAGACGTCTCCTCCATCAACTCTTCTCCCCAAAGGACTAAAACGGCCTCTTGAGTGGCTATAAATGTCTCATTAAAAACACTTAATTAAAAACTGTGTCTCGGTTAGAGTCAATCTGGTCCACACTCTTCATGCCAAAAAGCCAAGTCTTTCAAGCTGTGCATTTTTACTCTTAACCTTCCAGGGTAGCTTTAGAATCTCAATCAATTCTTTAAAAAATGCAAATGTCCTTTTCCCTTTGGCTTAGCAGTAGCCACTGGGAAATACGCATGTATAATTCCTTCCTGGCTACACATGAACTGTCACAATTATTGAAGAAGATACTCCAGGGCACATCAGCTTCCTCCAACCTGCCACTGCTGGCCCTTGAGCTCAGCCTCCCCTTGGCCTAGTCAGGTAGACAGCGACAGTGCCTCTGCAGGTACGCCTGTTCGCAGGATTCATCTTAATCTGTTCTCCTGATTCTAATTCCACTTCTGCTGTTGGGCCCCTTGTCCAAAGTACCCCTGCCTCCCACCTACTCTCCACTGTCTCATTAGGTGCTCCGGGGCCCTTCCCAGCCTGCACTAGACAGCCTTCCAGGTTCATCATCTGCATTCCCCTTAACATCCCACCCCGGTACCCAGTCTACGCTCCAATCATGGCATCACCAACAGTCCCAAACACACCACGGGGCTGTATGTCCCCTATGCCAGTATTCCCTCTGCCTGCAGTATCCCCGGAGCTCTGGGGATTGCCCTCCCGGCCTTCCAAACTCTGTTGAGAAGCTATCTCCCCTATGAAGCCACCTCTCACTGCCCTACCCATCCTGGGCTGAGCTGAGACTTCCCTCCTTTACTCCTAAAAGCATCGTGGGTCCTTCTTTATCCTAGTATTTATCCACAGTATTTAATTATGAGCTTCATAACTCTCTCCCCAGTAGGCTATGAGCTCCTTAAGAGTGAAGATTTTTTTTCATCCTTATAGTCCCAGCTGCTAGAACCTGACATCTGGCAAGTAATGAAAAAGTCTTAATGGGATGAACAGAAGGTGATACACACAAATGTGAGAAGTGTGGACTTTTCAGCTCTCCCATCTCCCTGGAAGCCCATGAATCCCACATTGCAGAAATGGATGACCACTGCTCAGAAGGGGCCTAAATCTCCAGCCAAGAAAAGAAACCTAGAAATGACACCATTGTTCGCAGCTGCCCTCTCCTCAGTCATCTCTACGCCTAACAGCACATGAGCATGAAACATGGGAGCAAACAGTCCACGAGAGGGCCCAGAAAAGGCCACTGGGGCAGAAAAATCATGTTTATCTGAAGGCGCTTGAATTCCTGAACCCCTCTAATCTGCCTAAAAGCAGAGTTTCCTGAAAGAATGCCAAAGAATGTATGAATACTCTCTCCAGAGGTAACCAAGGAAGACTGACTCTTACCACCACAACCAAATAGATTCATCATCAAAAACAGAACAACCCTCTCATATCTCCTATCCTCTTAAGGGTCCATTTATCTTTCCAAAAATGTATTTTTTTTAAAATGCCCTCTGCTCCCTGCCCTTCCCTATTAAGAAGTCATTTATGTTTCTATAAGTGCCCTTCTCCCTCTTACCTTACTTACTTAAGATGGTAAATAAAGCCCCAAAAACTAGCCCCTTGAGTCACAATTTTCTGTGTACTCCTACCTATATACTCACGTGAATAAAAAGCTGTCTTTTCTCTTGCTAATTCATCTTTTGTCAGTTTAATTCACAGGCCTCCAAACTCTGAACCTAAAAGCATAGAGGGAAAAGTATTTTGTCTCCTACGCATGCACATACACATGCCTGTATTTGTGTGTATCTATACTTATGAGCCTATATACATATAACCATACAGACAACTGCTCATGTCTACAGAGCAAGGGAAAGAATAGATTCTTTCTCCCAGTACCTTTGTGATTTTCAGGTGACGGCACCTCAGGGTGTTGTTGTTTAGTCACTAAGTCGTGTCCAACTCTTTGTGACTCAGTGGGCTACAGCTCACAAGCTCCTGTATCCAAGGGATTTCCCAGGCAAGAATACTGGAGTGGGCAGCCATTTCCTTCTCCAGGGGATCTTCTCAGGGGATCTTCTCGACCCAGGGATCAAACCCACATCTCCTGCATTGGCAGATGGATTCTTCACTGCTGAGCCACCTGGGAAACCCCACATCTTAGGGTGAGGGGATTTTAAACTAAAAACACAGGGAAAAATAAAACAACAGCAGCAAATGACTGAATGGGGAAAAAAATGCCCTCAACTTTGCAACAGTCCCAGGTTCTCTGTGGTCAATGCGTTGGTAGAGTTCAGATAAACCCAGTCAGTGGAAAATCCCTATGTCTTATTCCTATTTCCAGCCTCCTCCCAAATAAGCCTTTTTTCAGCTGTTAACTAACAACATTGACCTTCCCTGTCAACCTTCATGTAAAGATGCTAGTAAGCAATAATTGTAACGTATAGTTCGGGCCAAAGGCAGAAAAGGAGAGATGACCTCAACAGAAGTAGGTTACCTTTATTCAGGTAAGGAGGGGCAACAGTCAGCCTAACAACAAGGCTGAGAGGGATCAAGGAGGCTCCATATTTATAGGGAGGTTTGTGGAAGCAATAAGGGAAACATTAATCCAGCGGGATGTTTTGGGAATTCTCTAGTTGTGATGGCATTTGTAGTTGGGCAGGGGGTGATAAGTCTTCTGGGCAGCCGGTGATAAGTCCCAGATAGATAAAACTGGCCTGGAGCATCAGGGCAGGACCTAAAGTTCTGTTTTCTCCGAAATTAGGTGATTCAGCAAGGGCCTTTGAGACTGTTGTTTTCTTTTTCTAGGCCCAAAGACTCCCTCATTAATAATGTAAAAGATGATGAAACCCAGGGGAGAGACAGAATCAATCAAAAGAACAAAATTTTCCCCAAATTGAATCACTTCCTTGAATGAAAATGCCTGAATGCCTGTTCTCCACTCCTAAGCCTCATGTATGATCTTCAGTAGCACCTTCAAAGCAGGCTCCCCTCAGTCTGGACAGGTGCCCCCCAGCAGCATCAGAGATGAGAGGGAATACCTACCCCCCACCTTCAACCAGAAAGTGCCAGCTTTGTTCTGTTTCAAAGTTGGGCTCCTACGGAAGATTCTGTTTCAAGGCAGAGTTTTATAGCTAAAACAAAAATAAACAACTCCAGTCCAGAAAACGAGGCCATTGCTCTGATGAAATTCCATCTGGCTTTTACAAAAATAAGAACGGCCTAAGACTGGCCTAGCAGGATGGGAGGTAACCTGTAGCTCCCCCTCAGTCTCATGTAGGAGAAAGAATCCAAGTTAGAGACAAGAAACCAAGATCCAAGTTGTGTCCTGCCGTGTGTGACTGCCTCTCCTGCAAGATTCCTGGGCTGAAGAGGGCAGCAACCCTGTCTGTACATCATGGAATTCTCGGGGCCTCACACGGTGCTAGGAGATGGCAGCCATTTGATGTCCACTTGTACATCAAACAACTGAACAGTTTCCTGTCCTTGTCTGGGGAATTCTGGATTCTCGCCTTGCATTCTCACTGATGGAATAAACATAATTAGAATACCTCTCCTGTTGACTGTTTTAAAGAATGTCAGATCATTCACATAAAATGCTCAGTCATGTCCAATTCTTTGCAACTCCATGGACTGCAGCCCACCAGGCTCGTCTGTCTATGGAATTTTCCAGGTAGGAATACTGGAGTGGGCCAATGCATAACACAAAAAGCTGTCCAGTACACGGTATCTATTACTTTTACAATTACTATTACTATACTATTACTATTATTCTTCTTAAAACACTTTAAAAAAAAACAACAACTCTTAAAAGCAACTAGATGGGGGCTGGGTATCCTAGGCAAATTCCTTAAATTCTCTAAGTCTATAGTTCCTTACCTTAAAACAAGAGTAATAATGTCTTCCTTCCAGGGCTGTGGTGGGGATAAGTAAGGCAGCATAGATATTCACATAGGGTACTTTCCGTAAACTTTTGCCTACTGTCAGTCAACATGTTCAACTTGGCAGTGGTAATGTTAACAGCTTTACTCATGGAGTATATTCTATGAGTTTCCATAGATCGTTCAGTCCTCATAAGGAAAGCATTATTAGCCCCATTTTATGATGCAGAAACTGAGGATCAGAAAGGAGGCTCAGAAAGGTGAAGAGACTTCCTTGACATCACACAGCATTAGCCAGCAGAACAGTGGGACTGAAACTGAGATACATCTTGGTCAGGGCGGTCCTGCCCCCACAGCCCCACCCTGCCTGTTCTTGTGCGCCTCCTACTGTAGCAACAAGCATCGCCCCATGTCCCTACCTCCTCTCCTGGGCTGGGAGCTCCCTTCCCTTCTTCTCCACCTGTATAACCCCTCAGTCTTTGTATTAGTTTCCTAGTTCCTGCCACAACAACAAGCTGGTTGGCTAAGAATGGAAATTTATTGTCTCACATCGTGGAGGCTGGAAGTCTGAAATAAGGTGTCTGCAGGGCCTTGTCCCCTCTGGAGGTGAGATAGGAAGACCCCTTCCAGGACTCTTTCCAGGTTTATTGGCTCATGGCAGCGTAATTCCAGTCTTCTCATGGTGTTATCCTTGTATGGGTGTGTGCCTTTGTGTCTAAATCTTCCCCTTTTAATAAGGACACATATTGGGTTAGGGCCCACCTCACCCTAATGACCTCATTTTAACCTGATTATCTCCTTAAAGACTCTAGTCCAAATAAGACCACATTCTGAGGTTAGGACTCCAATGTGTCCTTTGGGTCAAATTTATTGCCACCTCCTGGTTCAGCTGGGCTGGGTGCCCTTTCCCCTCTGCTTCTCTGGTGTCCTGTCGAGTCCTGGTCACACTGTATCATCAAGTCCACTTGTCCATGTGGATCAAGGAATCAGTACTTTCATCTCCAGAGCTCCAGATCATACTCAGCCCAGTGCTGGGCACATCGTAGGCATCAGACATTTGTTGATGAATGAAGGCAGATGGTGATGGATTCTGCCAGCTGTGCCGCTGGCCCCATTGCCTGCCTTCGCCACAGGATTACAAGGGAACACACGGTCAGCAGGCTTGAGTGACCTCTGTCCAGACTCTAGCCTCAAGGACAACTAAGTGAGCTGGCAGACTTAGTCCATTTGTCTCTCACACCAGCCTGATCCCGACAGCTGGAAACTTCAGCAAAGACAGAGACGCACAGGGTGAAACTTCAGGGCTCCAAACCTTTGCCCTGAATGTCATCTTTCAAGCTAAGTGCATGAACAGTTGCCAAAATGAAGGAAGATTTTTTTCTGGTTGTTTTCCTCACTGACCTTCCTCTGAGCCCTGTAAACCTCTTCTTGTAGACAAAGATCCCTGAGGTGGACAGCAGCCTTGCTTCTCCAGTCGCAAGGGAAGTCGCAAGGCTGTCGCTGTCACTGCTTCTCCACGTTCACACTTTCTGCATGTCAAAAGCCACTTGGAGCTGCCACCCAATGCTCCTGTCATGGCTGGAGCAGTCAGGAGCATTGCTTGGTGGCAGGCCCTTTGCTTCTGTCTGTAGCACCTAGCCTTCTCAAAGCAAGTTTTAAAAGAAAACCACTAACTAATCTGCCTGCAATGCAGGAGATCTGGGGTTGCTCTCTGGGTCAGGAAGATCCCCTGGAGAAGGGAATGGTAACCCATTCTAGTATTCTTGCCTGAAGAATTCCATAGATAGAGGAACCTGGTGGGCTTCGGAGTTGCAGAGAGTCAGACATGACTGAGCGACTCACAGTTCACTTCAACCTTCCACCTGAGCTATGATAATAATGCTGTAGGTTCCTTTGGAAGTAAGCCACAACCGTCCTTCAGTAGCTGGCACGCCTGTATTGACCTTTTATCCCCAACTGAAAGAACTGTGAAACAGCACTGTCGTCTCCATGGGGCTGCTCACCCAAGGGAGCCCAGTCAGTGAATGCTGTGGTGGATTCGCTCTTTTGTTCCTGAAGTGCTCTGGTGGGCTCGGGCAGCATTATGCCAATTTGTTTCATACACTTCCTTCTGATCCTTCATGGTGAAAGCAAAGTGCACAGTCAGGTTGAGAGGAACAATGCAGCACAGGTGAAAAGGTGCCCACTGAGGAAGAATCTCCCCTTCTCCCATTCTGCAGAGATTCTTTAATGTTCATGAGAGCATAACTTCTCCATCCTTATGGATTCTGCTTTCTTCCACTGGTCATTTTGGTAATAAAGGCCAGCTTTCCATTATGTATCATTTTATTAATAATAATTGTGGTCATTTATTGAGCACCTGCTAAGTACCATGAAGCCTTCAGAGTAGTCTTAGCTGGAGCACTTAGGCAAGAAAAAGAAAAGGCATGCACATGGGAAAAGAACTAAAATTATCTCTTCAGATGACATAATTGTATATGTAGAAAACCCAAAGACTCTACAAAAAAACTGTTAAAACTAATAAACAAATTCAGTAACACTCCAGGATACAAAATTAACATATGAAAATTAGTTGCATTTCTATATATTAACACTAAATACCTGAATAAGCAATAAGCAATTCCATTTACAATAGCATCAAAAACAATAAAATGCTTGGGAATAAATGTAACCTGGAGAATTAAATATGTATGCACTGAAAACTATGAGATTAATGAAAGAAATTAAAGAAGATACAACAAACAGAGAAATATCCCATGTTGGTGGATCACAAGAATACTGTTAAAATGTCCATACTACTCAAAGTCATCTAGAGATACAATGCAATCCCTATGAAAATTCTAATGGCATTATTTACA